CTAGTTTTATTTTTACTGCAGGTAAATTTATTGTGAAGTTAGCAAAATTTTATAAGTTCACTGACATTCTTGTTAGAATTAAAGGAACTTAGAAGTTTGAGAGTAGCAGATAACACTGAGTCCTCACATTTGGAAACAAGGATATTTATAAACAAATGTCTTTAATATTGTTATAAGTCATATGAACCACGCATACATTTCTATTTCTTGTGATAATTATTTCTAAGTATTTTATAATATGGATGCTACTGTGAACTGATTTACCTATTATATTTTTCAATTGGCTTCAGTCTGTTTAACTGCATGGTTACCGCCTATGTAATTCTCAAGTATAACAGATCTAACAATTTTATAGTGTAGCTTCTTAGATTTCTATGTTTGATAGCAAATATGCCCTATCATACCAAATTAATAATAATAATCAGGCCTATTTTCCTCAACATTTATATTTTATTTTGTTTATCTTACTTTATTGTACTAATATAAAACAAGATTTTTCTATTTAATATAGCTACTGTACTGAACCTAATATAATAATTTAATTACATATTTTACATATAAGCATATGAAAATACATCCAAGGTTTCTTATAGGTTAAGAAATAGGTATTTTCATGTAAAAGTAAACTGTCAGATGCCAGAATTTATGTGGTTATATCTTCCAAAAAAGACAAATTTCTGTTTCTACTACCCACTCTTAAAATTACAACTAATTTTTAAAATTTCTCATACATTTACAAATATGCAATCAAATATCATCAATATTTAAAAAAACATAATTGTTGGCATTGACTCAATTAGGAGATTCAGAATTAGTGGAAATCAACTACTAATTTCGATGTGGAATTCAGACTTGCAATTGAAAAGCTGGGGCAAAGGAACTTAATTATTTTCTAACCTTCTTTCACTTTGAGTTAACTGTCACCTAACAGTAATTACCTTAGTTTAAAGCATCAACCAATTAAAAATATGTGAAAAATTGATGGCATGGGCCTTTCTTTTAATATTTTATGTGTTACTAAAAAATCCAGCACATTCTCTTTCAATCACAGAGGGAATTACATTCCAAATTTGGACTCCTTCCTATCACAGCTTACACATTGTTTTCATTTATAACCAAATCTTACAAGTTTTTGAGTACTACAGAGATTTTCAAAACTGTAAAATAGGAAAAACGTCTGTGGATGGATGGGCAGTAGTAACCATAAATAGGTTATTTCCTGGCAGAGGTACCAATGTGAATTAAACTTATAATGCTACAGAGAAATAAAACCAGTCCTACAATTGCTGAAAATTAAGTTGTAACCTTTTAACTTATAAAAATCGCAGCATTGGGCCTCCCAGGTGGCGCAGCGGTTGAGCGCTGGGTTGCGAAGCTGCCCGCGGCCTCTGCGGCGCCGGTTCGATCCCCGGCTGCTCCTCGGCCACCGGAGGAGGATCCCACATGGTGCGCAGAACCTCTGACCTCTCCTGCCGCCGCTGCTCCCCTCAGCAGTGTACTTCAGTCCTTCTGCCTGCTCTGCTCCCCACTCTGGCTCTGGTGAATTCTCTCACCCTCCCACGCTTCTGACTGTACCCAGTGCATGTATAAACAAAAACAAACAAACAAACAAGTAAAAATAATAAATTAAAACATGCCTCTATAAAAAAAAAAAAAAAAAAAAATCGCAGCATAAAAACATACCTAGAAAGACAAAAATATTTTTCCTACAACGTAGAACCAGTCGGGATTTCCAGCTGGAACACCACATACTCTTAAATACCCAGGGCATACTCTTAAAAGCCAAACCTACTTCTGCTGTAATTTAATTTGTATGAGTCCTTCGACACTTTTTAAGCTCAATTCTTTCAAAGAACAAAAACAAGTCTCTGAAGACTTGCTGCTATACTTGGTCCTACACTGTCTCTTAGCTAATACTTATCTGGAGAAAATATGCTTAAAAAATGGGCTTTAAAATGTGCTTTAAAACAAAAAAATACTACTTTTTGGTATGACAAACAATATCAATTTAACCACGACTCCAAATCTTAAACTCTAGCCTTTTTCATTTATCCAACAAGTACCATGTTTTGTCTATCACTGCCTCTGTTTCCGCTGCTACTGTGGTAATCCACGGTACTTGGTACTTTTCTCTGAGTAATAGCCAGCTTCTCCTCTTATAGCATTCTTTTATCTTTGTCAAATTATGTTCCAAAGCGAGGTTCTGAGTATCATCACACCCCTTTTCAAAAATAACTCTTATTCTTTTTTTTTTTAAAGATTTATTTATTTATTATTTATTTATTTATTTATTTATTTATTTATTTATACAAGCACTGGGTACATTCAGAAGCGTGGGAGGGTGAGAGAATTCACCAGAGCCAGAGCGGGGAGCAGAGCAGGCAGAAGGGCCGAAGTACAAAGTACACTGCTGAGGGAGCAGCGGCGGCAGGAGAGGTCTGCGCGCCATGTGGGACCCTCCTCCGGTGGCTGGGGAGCAGCCGGGGATGGAACCGGCGCTGCAGAGGCTGCGGGCAGCTTCGCAACCCAGCGCTCAACCGCTGCGCCACCAGGGGAGGCCCATAACTCTTATTCTTATATTACAAATGTTGCTACTTGACTTTAATAACTTTAAAAAGCTTTATTCCCCACTATTCACTTTCAAGTATTATGTACTCTAGCCAAACAGTTTCCTAAACATGTCATTTGCCTTTTTTGTCTCCTATTCTTTGCCTATGATGTTAACTTTGCCTGGGGTGACATTTCTCCATTTCTAAATCTTATTTATGCTTTAAAGGCTAGTTGAAATGCTGCTATTCTCTAAGATATACAAGGTCTTTCCTAACTAAGCAAAAGCCTCTAAACTCCTATAGGACTTCTCTATGACAGTGTTCTCTAACTTCTAATTTGAATGACTTGACAAGTTTGTTAAAATGTTGTTTCTAATTCAGCAGGTCTGAGAAGCTATGTTTTGTATAAGATCCCAGGTGACACTGATGCATCTAGTCTGTGGAAAATCTGAATAATATGTTATAGCATACACCAATTTTGGTCTAGTACTCTTGTTACTTAGGAACCTTTTCTTATTACCTGTTTTCCTAGAAATGAAGGAAAAATCCCTGTTTTCCAATGTAAATTTTACAGGAGATATTTTATAGATATTTATAAATTTGCAAATTGCAGTTTTGCAACCTATTAATGGGTTGCAAGCTAAATGTGTTTAACATGAACATATATATTTCAAAACGAAGAAAATGGAAATAAAATGAGAAAGAAAATAGAAACTACCACATATAAGAGTAAATATTGCTTCATAAAACTTGTTGCAAATATATATATATACATGCACACACACTTGCATTTACTGAGTCAAAATATAAAATCTATTCTTTATATGTACTCTGGTAAAAATAAAAAAAAGTTGGAAAATACATGTTATTAGTTAAACTGTGCACCCCCCCCCCCCAAAAGATGCTGAAATCCTAAATCTGGTTAGAGACTAGAGTCGTGCTACAACAAACCAAAGAATGCTTGGAGGCTGGATAACAAAAGCTGGAAAAAGAAAAAGAGAGTCTTCCCCTAAAAGTTTCCAAAGAAGTATGGCCCTGCCAATACCCTAGATTTTGGACTTTTCGCCTCCAGAATTGTGAGAGAATAAATTTGTTGTTTTAAAACAACCAGTTTATGACAGTTTATTATGGCAGCCCTAGGAAACTAATACAACAATACAACTAATACAATACAAACTAATAAAACTAATACAAGAAGTTATATTTCAGTCCTAACCCAAATATTTTCTTAATTTCAGAGTTGTAAAAGAATATAAATCTCTGGAAAAACATTATCATGAACACTGCAAAATACAGCTTTTTCTACATACTCTTCTTTACACCATTTTTTCTTTATAGCATTAGTTATTGTGTATTTGTTTACTTTGTCAGAGAGTAAGTTTGTGAGGACAGGTCATACTTCTTACCATATCTCCAATGCCTGACCCATAGTAGTATTTCAATAAAAACTTTTTTTTTATATCTAAAAGGGCAGGTTTATTATAAAAAGAGAGAGGAGTAAAGAACACTTGCACAGACTCAAGCAGGCAGAAAGAGCTGCCACTGAAAGGGACAGATTTGCTAAAAGAGACCCAGGAAGAAGGTTGGTGAAGAGTAACACTTGCATAGTCACAGGTGGGCAGGAGAGCTGCTGCCCAATAAAAACTTTTTAAGTGAAGAAGAGGAAAGTTCATGAAATAAACTATATGTAATGAGTATTAAATGCTATTGTTATTTACATCTTCTTGTTCTTTTTCTCTTCCAAGAAAAATAATGAAGAGATTATTGAAGAGAATTTTAATGTCAATTAAAATAATGAAGCAATAATGAAGAGATTTTTAATGTCAACTATTTTACCAGGTCTACTACAGAGACTGGCTATATAGCACATGGGTCAAATGTAGCCAGCAGCCTGTTTTAGTAAATAAAGTTTTACTAGAACACAGGTTCACTTATTCAGTTATGTATTTTCTGTGGTTGCTTTTATACTAAAATAGTAGAGTTGAGTGGTTATGACAGTCTAGATGGCCTAAAAAGAGTAAAATATTTTCTGTGTCTATAAAATAAGCCACTCTATTTTATACTATATTTATACAATGCTTGATTCCTAATCACACATATTTCCAAAATTATGAGAAATAAACCTCAAAAAAATCTTCAAAAAAAAAAAAAATGAAATGTTGGAAGTAACTTTTACCTTGTTGTAATTCTTGGCTAATTCCAACATCTCTTTTACCACTGATTCATTGTGTTTACAGTGCTCACTGTAGTCCTGAAGTGTCAAACCTTCCATCCAACTCTTCTTATGCAAATTTAGCAACATCTGAAAAATATAAAGAAAAAATATTTTCTTCACTTCTGTGAAGAAAAATCTTTACAGAAAATAACTGGAATTCATGGATTTAAGTTTGTTAACTTAAACTCTAATACAAATTCTCCAAAATGTATATGAATATAATAACCTAAAGAGTACTCTAACCCCATGGCCTTTGCATTTGCTGTCCTTTTGCCTGAAAAGCTATTTTCCTAATTTTATATATAAGGTTTACCATCCTTGAGACAGATGAATTCCCTCACCATGCTACACAAAAATATCTTTCTTCCTCTAACCTACTTACTATTATTTTTAGATAGTAGTAAATATCTGAATTTTTTCCTTGATTATGCCATTTATCTCTCACTAACAAGAAGTCAATAAGGACCTTGACTTATTTCAAGATTGCTGATCTAGATTCTAGAACAGTACCTAGTCATAGCAGACTCAATAACTATCTGTTGAAAGAAGGAATGACTGAAACTACAGTGTTATATATAGGATCTCTTTTACAGTTCATACAGTCCAGGTTTCAAATGCCAAAATAAGGTGGTAAATGCCCCATTTACAAAATTACTGTGTTGATCAATCTTTCTGAACCTCAGTGTACATATCTATAAATTGAGGACTTACATTGAATAATTTATAAGTTTCTTTCAAACTCTAATATTCCACCTATAATTTAAAAAATTAAAACTTCTTTATTATCAGAACGAAAAGTCATGAAACTGGTAAGGAAAGCACAAATTCCTTTAGTTTGCAATCACATCAGTAAACTGGGATCATGTCCTAAAAATGATCATGGAATTAAACACCTTAGTTCATTTTTTCTCCAACTGGCCTCCTTGTTCTGAGTATTTATATTTCTATGTTCATAAGCTTTCCAGTTTAGAGTCTTCAGACAGTTTTTCTTAAAGTCTTACTCTACAAATGTTCTTCAGTTGAGAACTTTATTTAAGAAAACTGTTTAGAGGTTTGCAGCTACATGAAGTAGAATTCAATAATTCTTCAATTATTGAAGAATAGGCTTCATGTGATCAAAATCACTTATAAAATTTCAAGACATGAAAACTCCAGGATTCCTCATCTTCCCTCCTAGGGTCCATGGGCACAAGAGGAGTTTGCAAAAAAGTTGGAAAAATCCTGCCAGTTTCTCTGATTGCTTTCCTTTTTCTCTACAAATAGGTCCTTGAAAATATAGCCTTGGAAAATTTTGGTATAACCGCAACTATCCATGCAAAAAAGCTACCTGATTAGATTTTAAATCTAATTAGATGCTGATTAGATTTTTTTCTACCACTTCAAAAGCAAACAAAGAAGTTTCCACAGAACAGCAGGATATCCCAATATGCCTGCACAAGGATTCCACTGGGACTTAAGGTAAAGCTTTGTGTTAAGTATACAGGTTGGTGGGATAATAGTAAAGGCAGGACTTTGAGTTCTAAGAAAACTTTAGGAGCTACTAGGAACATAAACTTAACATTAATATAAGTGTTTACATATGTGTATTTTGTTTGTTTGTTTTTAATGCCAAGGATGGTAGAGAAGCTTATGGAGTACTTAAATCAAAAAAAGGGAGAAGAGAAAGTTGATGTAATGTGCTGGATATTTCCAAACAGTTGAGTATCAGACTCATAAAATATTTACATATCTAAATGAATTTTCATGGCATGTACCTATTCTACATAAAATTTAGTGTTGAAAATGTACTTCAAGCAATCAATTAAACCTACCATACCAGATACAAACTTTGAGACATAAGCAAGCAGCTGAAGAAAAGTTTAAGGCTCTGAGTCTTTTCTCAGGCAAAGGGGAACTGATCCCCTGCAGCACTGAGGCTCTTTGGATGAGTTTAGATGGGTGGCTACCCTATTGAAACAGTGGTTTATCAAACTTAAAAAATCCCCAACAAATCAGAATTCTTCTTTCCAAGAAAATCTCACCTCCCTTTGCCCCACTAATATATGAATGAAATTAAAAATGAAACTGATCTGGGGCCTCCCCTGGTGGCGCAGCAGTTGAGCGCTGGGCTGCCAAGCTGCCTGCAGCCTCGACAGCGCCGGTTTGACCCCTGGGTGCCGGGGCAGGGTCCCACATGGCATGACAGACCTCTCCTGCCGGCACCCGCTGCTCCCCTCAGCAGTGTATTTCGTCAGTCTGCCCGTTCTGTTCCCTGCTCTGGCTCTGGTGGATTCTCTCACCCTCCTGTGCTTCTGACTGTGCCCAGTGCTTGTGTAAATAAATAAATAAATAAATCTTAAAAAAAAAAAAAAAAAAAGAAAAAAAAGAAACTAATCTGGTTGAAAGAGAGGGTAGATGTGGAGAGCTCAGCTTACTCAATGACCTACTTACCATATGCACTAGAATCCCTTTCTAAAGCACCGCTGTGAAAATACATTTTCAACTAGTAAGAAAATTGTTAATTACTAACTACTTTAACAAGTTTGAACTTGAGATTACAGTTAGGAACCAAATCTTTCTGGATGTCAATAGTATTGTGTTAAAAAAAAGTTTTTTAGAGTCTTTCTCAGAGAAATGCAAGAAACTAATTTGAAGGATTACTAGCTATAATAATAATAAAAAAAAGTAATTCAGGTTGTACTGCAAAATCAAATAGGCAGACTTAACTATTAGGTATAAGAAAATGAAATATTTTCAAGAGAAAATTAAATATTAAGTGAGATAAAAATGGTATTTGAAATAATACTAAAACTGTAGGAACAAAAGAATACTAATCCACCAAGATTCTAGTTTTAAAATGAATCAAATTTAAAAACTGCCAAGTAGAAAACAGGCTAAGAATCTAGCTCTAAATATCTGAAAACCCCATTTAGGGGTTTCCTTTTGATGCACCTTTAGTTTACCCTAGGAAAAACACAACATATTTTTTTAAAAGTAACATATAATTATAATCTGATTTATTCCTCTTAAATTTGGAAAACTATTTAATGATTTAGTTACAAAGGATCATTTTATTGGAGAAGATGAATTAATTAGAAAAAATATCACAGAACGGAGAGATTTTATAACATCATAAAACCAAATTGGAGTTGTTTCCTACTTCCTCTTCTTGATTCAACATCCACGTGTTCAATAAAATATTTAATTTTAATGCTGCAATTCATCAGGAATGAAAAAGCATTTGAAATATATCTATGATAAGACAATTCAAATTCAAATGTAACAGCCAATAATTTAAATGGTTTGAAAAAGATATTTTCCTACTCTAAAATTAAAATTTTAACTTACCTTCTGTTCAAGTTCATTTTTCCGATAGTTAATAGTAATGGAGTAATAATGTCTGTTTAGTCCATGAATTAAGGCCTGTATTGACAAATGATAAGGAAAAGAACATATTAATATGTCTCATCTAATAAGATAAATAGAACTATTGGAAACTTAATATATACTATAGACCTTTACCATTTAAAAAAAAAAGTATTTAGTATTAAAAATACGAAATAAATACTAAATTACTTTTTTCATAGTTACAAATTTAGAAATGGGTTTAGGGGTACTGGTCACACATTCTTCAAGGTGTTACACAAAACAGCACATATTCAATGGTTTCAGTAGCCTTGCTCAGAGATAAGGTTTGATTCCATCATAATCTAAATTATATTCATAATTTATAAATAGTATATAATTTATTAAGTAGAATATTAGGATATATATGAGGCTTTTTGTTATTTCAAAAGACAAGTATAAAAAGACATAAAAATCACTTATTTCTTCACATATAACATTAATCTGGGGTTTCCCATTTTTCTTGTTTTTTTAAGATTTATTTATTTATTTACTGCTTTTATTTTTTAAGAGATTTATTTATTTATGATACAAGATCTGGGGTACAAGACAGTGGTGTGGAGGGTGAGAGGATTCACCAGAGACAGAGCAGGGAACAGAACAGGCAGATGGACTGAAGTACACTGCTGAGGGGAGCAGCAGGAGAGTCAGGAGAGGTCTGTCATGCCATGTGGGTTGCTCCCTGGCGGCCGGGGATCAAACTCAAGCTGCAGAGGCTGCGGACAGCTTCATAGATTGCATCTTAACCCCTTGTGCTACAAGAACTGGGGTGTAGGGGTGTGGGAGGCCAGGGGATGAGTGAGAAGATTCACCAGAAACAGAGTAAGGAGCAGAACAGGCAGATCGACTGAAATACACTGCTGAAGGGAGAAGCGGACAAGCAGAAGATGTCTACTACACCATGTGGGTTAGCTCCTTGGTCAGCTGGGGATGGAACTCATGCTGCAGTGGCTGGCAAAAGCTTGATAGTGCTGTGTCTTTAACCCCTGTGCCACTAAGAAGGCCCCTTAATTCAGTTTTAATAGATTCAAATAATTGTGTCTGTATATGTTTCCAAATTAATAAAGCAGAGTTTGTTCTTTACTAGTTCTGTTTAGTTCATGCTCTCACTAGTCAGAATTTTTTCCAATGCACTTTTTCTCCAAAATAAGTAGGCAAATTGGGCCTCCCCGGTGGCGCAGCGGTTGAGCGCTGGGTTGCGAAGCTGCCCGCAGCCTCTGCAGCGCCGGTTCGATTCCCGGCTGCTCCCCGGCCACCGGAGGAGGGTCCCACATGGCGCGCAGACCCCTCCTGCCGCCCGCTGCTCCCCTCAGCAGTGTACTTCGGTCCTTCTGCCTGCTCTGCTCCCCTCTCTGGCTCTGGTGAATTCTCTCACCCTCCTGCGCTTCTGACTGTCCCCAGTGCATGTATAAACAAAACAAACGAACAAACAAACAAATAAATAAATAAAACATGCCTCTATAAAAAAAAAAAAAAAAAAAAAAAAAAATAAATAAAACAAAATAAGTAGGCAAATTATGATAGAAATAACAGGACTTCTGTGCTCACCTTTATGCATATTAAAAAGTGCATTCTCTGGGTGAAAGACTTAGAAAAAAAGCACTGGGTCCTTCAGAAATAGCCTATCTGAAGAATGGCGCTTAGGCTAGATTTCAGGTACCAACTGTCCTCTCATCCAAGTGCATTTGTGCAATGCCTTAACTACTCAGAGATAGTACAATAAAGTTATTTAAAACTATAGTAATTAAATACAGAAGTTAGCCAATGGGCCCACAGACAGGCACACATTTTGGAGATTAACTGTCATAGTGAAATATAGTTTGATATCTGAAGGCACTACCTACTTGATTTCCAATGATACTATTTAGATGAAAGAAGTAAAAAAGAGGTAGCATGAAAGATGAGCAGGTAAAATGTTAACCAAACAAATATGTTTCAATCAAATGATATCCTCAAGCATTGTCTTTCTATTTCACTCACTTACATGCTGTGTACTCTAAGTGCATTCACCCAGATCATAATTGGCCATGTGTAATCCTCCTTCCACACGAGCCCAAAAATACAGCCATTTTTTAGTTCAGTGAATAATAAATTATCGAAATTAACCCATCTAATTGACAGTGAATTACAAGTGTGACAAATACTAGTTTTTTTTTTCAAGCAGGAAACTAATTTTCTGAAAGGGTCAAAATGCAAATTAAACAAAATATACCAACAAAAGCCATGATATGTCAGGCAAATGAAAGAGAACATATAGCCAGGAAATTTTTTAAAACAGCAATACATAACTTTGAAATTTACACTTAACAAACATGTTGCAGTTAGGAAAATTTAATAAGCATGTCTTGATTAAAACATGGTATGTTCCTGAATTCATTCATTAAGTGCTTCCCTGAAATGTGCAATAGTTTTTCATAGAAGCATTATTAATGGTTCTATTCTATAATATTATATACATTAGATTAAATAAGGTTTCATTGGTTAACCTGAGAAGCTAGACATCTTTTTCAGCACTATTTTGAGAACAAGACATTTTGGATTTACTAACAGCACTTAGCTCATTTGCTTCTTGGATATCCTGACCTCTTTGTTCTCTGTTCAAAGCCTGCCAACTTTTCAAAACAGGAAGCAGATCTGCTTAAGTGGTACTCAGTATCAATCTAAGATACTATATATTCTACATGAAGACTGGTTTAGAAGAGAAACTAGATGAAGGGGAGTTTGAGAGACTGATGATTAACTTCCAGGTAATTTCTATTCTTTTCCAGTTAATCTTTAGAGTAGAGCTTTATAATTTTGCTGGTATGGCAAATTCTTTTTTTTTTTTTAAAATATTTTTTTTTTTTTTTTTTTATAGAGGCATGTTTTATTTATTATTTTATTTGTTTGTTTGTTTTGTTTTTACATGCACTGGGTACAGTCAGAAGCGCGGGAGGGTGAGAGAATTCACCAGAGCCAGAGTGGGGAGCAGAGCAGGCAGAAGGACTGAAGTACACTGCTGAGGGGAGCAGCGGGCGGCAGGAGAGGTCTGCGCGCCATGTGGGACCCTCCTCGGGTGGCCGGGGAGCAGCCGGGGATCGAACCGGCGCCGCAGAGGCTGCGGGCAGCTTCGCAACCCAGCGCTCAACCGCTGCGCCACCGGGGAGGCCCAGGTATGGCAAATTCTAAACAAGTATACAAATAAATTTCATTACCATTGAAATAAGACTCAAAATAAACCACCATTTTAATTATTTTATATTTCTGTGTCCATTCATCCATGTGAATTATTAAACTTATATGTCTTTGGAAGAAGAGGTACCTAAGCCCAATGAACTTTAAGATTAGACTGACCACCAGTGCAAAAATAATAGAGAGAAGAAAAATAATAAACTTAGAACTGCTGGGCATCTAAACAAAGTTGACTGAAACTACGAATAAAAATAAAGGCAGTTTTTGAGAGGCATCCGGCTACCAGGTTGGATGGAATCGTGTGGAACCATATTTTATTTAGGGGAGGCTGACAACAGTTCCTAAAATAAGCTTCTTTACTTATATGTCTTCCTATATAATGACTATGTCAGATAATAAAAAGCAACTAAAATCCACCCTACCCATACTTCCCTGATACTGCCTAGACTACTGAGAAGAGGTAATAAGTTATATCTATCTGCTAAAGAAAAACAGGCATATTATAATCCATAGTTTTAGAACTACATAATCACCGAGTCATAGGTTCTTAACAGGTTAAAAAGTTTCAAGCTCTTGAAAAAGTATGGCATGTTAATTTAGCTGTGAAGATCAAACTGTCTGCCTTAATTTTACATTGATAAGTAAAAATGTGGTGCTAAATAATATCCATTAAATCATTTGAAAATGAAGCTTACTGTATACAAACATAGTAACTAAAGAGCAAAATATGGTGCTATCCCATTTTGTCTAGAGTGGAAAACTGGGCTACAGAGGCAAAAATAGAGAAGAAAATTTTTGCTAAATACCAATTTTCACTTTTCTAATACTCAGTTGCAATACATATAGTATATATGCAAAAATTCATTAACTAAACTTCTAAACTATGAAACGAAGAGGAGCCCTAGTTACAAATACCAGCTCCTTCATTAACTCACCAGATAACCTAGGCAATTCAAACTTTGAGCCTCATTTTTGTCACCTATAAAATGAGCACAGTGTTTCCTTCCAGTGCAACTGTTTTTATAACTGGTCAATGCTTTTCAAATAGCTTAACTCTATTAGACAATGCAGTTGTACTTAGGACTATGCTCAAAGACTCACAGTGCTAGCACAATGGATATATGCACCATTATTTACTATATTTCCATGGTACTGACAACTAAATCTTCCCAGAACTCTGGCTTTTAATGGCCTGAAGTGTCACTGAACACTAAAAAGTTTTTAGTGTAATAGTTTAAAATTTTTAGTTTCTAAAATAAGTGCTTGTTACAGTCAAATGTTCCAAGCATAAAATAATATAGTCTCATATATTAACATAAAAGCATATAGTATAGGTATTATACTGTCCCAACTCTACTGGGATTATTAATGATTTCTCTTGTTTAAAATATGAAAGTTGGGCCTCCCCGGTGGCGCAGCGGTTGAGCACTGGGTTGCAAAGCTGCCCGCAGCCTCTGCAGCACCGGTTCGATCCCCGGCTGCCCTCCGGCCACCAGAGGAGGGTCCCACATGGCGCGCAGACCTCTCCTGCCACCCCCTGCTCCCCTCAGCAGTGTGCTTCGGTCCTTCTGCCTGCTCTGCTCCCCGCTCTGGCTCTGGTGAATTCTCTCACCCTCCGGCGTTTCTGGCTGTACCCAGTGCTTGTATAAATAAATAAAAATAAATCTTTAAAAATAAAATAAAATATGAAAGTTAATATAAACATTGTATATTAGCTTTGTCTTCTGATATAGACTTCAACATTGTTATTGGTGTTTTAAAATAACATCTGCTAGAAGCAATATATATTTTACTATAGGAAATTTAAGAAATATTGAGAAGGCAAAATCCATAAACCTACTATAATCCAAAGGTAATCAATACCAATTAGTTGGTGCAAATATACAGGCACAGTTTATAAATTATATATTTACAAAAAAAAGAAATGGTACATCCTATTTTATAATATTTCTAACATGTTTTGAACTTGCTTCAAATTATTAAATAGTAATCTAAATTGTAATAATGTTCCCCCATCATCTTAAGTATAACAGTGAAGAAATCAGTGTTTGAAAACCATCAGTGATCACCAGCATGAATGTTGACTGTTGCTGTCAGGTTTCTATCCTTGCTACTCCAAAGCTGATTTAGGAGCAAGGCCCTTAATGTGAGCCAATTTTCTTTCAAAATAAAAGGCGAGGTCTTTCTGAAAGGTTTCTAATCTCTGAGTTAAAGATTCTGCTAACACATACTACAATTCTAGTATGGATATTACCATTCATTTCAAGCTCTTCTGGTTTCCCTTCTTTCTAGCTTGTCTTAGAAAACTAAAAAATTTCTTTTAAGGTGTGGCTTTGCTCTCACACTTTTTGACTTGATCCCATTTGAATGCTTCAATATTGAAATTGTCTTAAAACTGTAAGGCACCCAGATAGATGTCATTCTGATGGGCGCTATATAAACTGTGAAATAAATATATTTACAGATCTTAATTGGAAGGCAAAACAAATTAAAATGAAAGGAAAAACAATGATGCTGTAGCTGTTACATATACAGGTCCTTTTAACTTGGGTTTGGAACCTGCTGCATAAGGTTCATCTTAAATTACAGACTGATATGGTAGGATTAAAAAAAATACCAACTGGACTGGTATAGAAAGAATCAGGTTTTAATATTGATTTTACTTATAATTCTAGGGTTAAAAACTTTAAATTTGAAAGATGAAATCTCCAACAGGTGGCTGTTGACTTGCAATTAGTAAAAACTTCTGGCAGAAATATACCATGCAGTAATCACAATGATCTTGGATTGTGAGATGCTACTTAACCTTTTGCAAAAAAATAATGAAGCAGTATGATGCTATGGGGGTTTATAAGGAAGGTCATTATCACAGGCTAAACAGGTCCAATAATATATTCTCTTGGAGCATGCAAGCATGGGCTTGCCTGTACCCAATCAAAAACACTGGTAGCTTATTTCATACTCATTATGTTTGGCAGTTTTTTCCTGACTTGTAAGAACATTTTTTCAAAAGAAACACACCTCAATCCTTTGAAACAAAACATTTCACTTTGATGAAGATTTCAGATGAGTGACTGCTGCAAAAGCCTCTAAAAATATAAAGTTACAAAAGTGTAACCAAGTCTTAACCAGAGGTAACTGTCAAAGCCACAACTCCCCAAAGACAACTGAATGACAGAGCAAGGTTTCAGAAGGGGAGCAGGAGTAGCTACTATAATGTCTTTGTCCTATGTGATCTATTTAACCAAACATGATATTTCTGTCCTTTTAATTAATCTTCAGAGAAGCAATTAACTACATAAACCGAGGTTGTGGTGCATTTAAAAACACATTTAAAATAATTTTTGTAGACAATAAAGATTTGTGTAAAAACAATGAGGCATGTGAATGATACAAAGAAAACATTAATCACTCAGGAGGATATTAAGTGTCTGAATAACTATAATAATGGTGGGTTGACATCAAGAGAAAGAACAAAAATAAACTCTAGTCAAAGGTAGTATATAGCTGTGTTTCAAAGGATTTGTTTTAAAGGTGGGAATTAGACAAAAAGAAGTAAAAACACTTAAGTATGACTTAGGAATTGTTTCTGGGGATTATATATCATATTTCCCATTACTTACCCCTGCTATCAGAAATGTCTACCAACCAATCCATGACAGCTAATGCATTCCACCTGAAACTCCTATTGGTCCTTTATTACAATGTTAACCATGCAAGGCTGTAAGTACTCTCAGCTACTATTATGTTCTCCAAAAGGGTGTCCTCAGTAACTGTTAGGAAAGTTTAATGACGCCACTAAAAACGATTATTTTCAATTTCACTAAAAACTGAATATTGCAACAATTTCCCCATAATCTTTTAAAGATAATTAAAAGATAACCTTTTAAAAACTAACTGCAAGCAAATTAAAATGCTAAGAATTAGATCTTAAAATGTCATTTATCACAGGCCTTTAAAAGTGACAGTTTTAATATGATCAAATATAAGCATTACCTGGATAGATGGCTTGTTTAAATGACCCAAATTTGAGGTTGTTTGTCTTGGTTCATGTCCTAAGACCATCATATTAGCATTGATCAATCTGAAGGCATCAATAACAACCTGTAAAAACAAGACGTTAAGTCAATTCTTTTAAAAAAAACAACTGATGATGCCAAGCAACAGTGGACAAGGCATGATCAACTTGCATCTGTTTCTGGCCTATTTCCAGAAAATCATTTAATTATAATATTAATAAAAAAGAACCTCCTGCTGACTGTGCCATCAGCACACCACCCTCTCTCTTGTAATGTAAGGTGACACCAATTATTGCAATTTTCATGAAGCAGTAAAGAAAATTATTAACTTTGCATCTTTATTATTGAAATACGTCATTACTAAACTTATTCCAAACAGCCTCCAATGATGTGCATGTTTGTCATCTAAATTTTACCTAATCAAAATGAATGACAAATAGAAACTAAAACTGAAAGTGAGCACAAGCTAAGGGACCACATCTAAAGCCCAGTCCTGTCACATCAATTATACCTCCACAGTACTTGAAATGACAACAAAATTACAACCAGCAAGGTACTTGCTCCACTATTCTTTTCTAGTCAGATACCTTTTACTTCTTGTGACTATAAAAGACTTTATACCTTGTCTGATGGCCTTAAATGTCCAAGCCACTGTCAAGTAAAGGAAGCACAACAGGAGAAAACCAAGGTCACCTGTACTTGAAACCAGGAATAAGGTATAGAATGACATGGTCCTAAGTTCACTGTAAATAAGTAACAATAGGTATCCTCTTTTTGCTAAATGTATTAATATTTCTTATAGTAAGACTTGAAAAACATACATGATACAAAACTACTAGCTCTTATATGTTAAAATATATTAATAAGAATCATACTATCCTAATGCTTATTTCTGTGCATTAAGCATATTTTAAAAAGATTTATTTATTTATGCATACAAGAACTGGGGTATAGGCCAGAGGTGTAGGGGGGTGACAGGATTCACCAGAGACAGAGTGGGGAACAGAACAGGCAGATTGACTGAAATACACCGCTGAGGGGAGCAGTGGGCAAGTCAGGAAAGGTCTGCCGTGCCATGTGGGTAGCTCCCTGGCCAGGGATCGAACTTGTGCTGCAGTGGCTATGGTGAGCTTCACAGGTTGCATCTTAACCCCTTGAGCTACTAGGGAGGCCCTGCATTAAGCATTTTAAAGGAACTTGTTTAAGCTTTCAAATGTTGGAAAATTTTACATTAAAGCACTGACTTTTGAAATAGAAATCTCTTTAATTAAATAAATTACCTAGGGCCTCCCTGGTGGCGCAAGGGTTAAGACGCAGCCTATAAAGTAGTCCTCAGCCTCTACAGCATGAGTTCGATCCCCGGCCGGCCAGGGAGCAATCCACATGGCGCAGCAGACCTCTCCTGACTCGCCTGCTGCTCCCCTCAGCAGTGTACTTTGGTCAATCTGCCTGTTCTGTTGCCCACTCTGTCTCTGGTGAATCCTCTCACCTCCCACACCTCTGGCTTGTACCCCAGCTCTTATATGCATAAATAAATAAATCTTTAAAAAAAATCTATTACCTAAGATAAATTCATTATATTCATCACATAAACTAATATTAAAATGGGAAACTAGAGAATTTCTAAATTTACCATTAAAAGTGAGATTTATCAATGATTTGTAGTTATTGTCAACTACATTATTTCTCATTTGTGTAACTACTGTTTGAGGGTTTACAAAATTAAAAAGTAAAATTTATTTTCAAGTTAAGCCAACTGAAATCTAATCAAGTCTGAAAATCTGTTTGTAGTATTACTCCATGCCATATGCTAATGGAGAAGATTTAAAGAGGAAAAAAAGAATTATTCTTTTTACAAGGCTACCAAGACGGGTCAACAGACCAAAGCATTATGATAAACAGAACAATCTAAGGATTTGGTGTGCTCTGGTAGGCCAAAATCACCAAAACCCAGCAACTCTGAAGTATGCTTTTATTTCTAACAATTTGAATTTCCCCCCAAAGATTTCTCCTGCCTCAAAATAAAACCAAGTCTCCCTAGGACATATAAGACTAAATAAGTTTGTGAAAACTTTCTCTTTTTATTCAATAGCTAGAATCTAGACTTAACTTTCACATTTAAATATAAATAAATATGGTCCAGGTTTCTACTTCTTGCTTATACTTAGTTTTTCCTAATCATATTTTTTTATAGAGAAATAATAAAAATAAGTAGTAATGAGAGATGCTTTAATCAGATAATATAATTTAAACAATAGTTTTTTGAAAATGTAGAAATAACATTTCCCAACATTTTCACTAAAAAAGCACATAAAATAAGGTAAAATTAAAATATAAACAAAAGAGGGAGAAGGTCACCATTTTAATAGATGACATATAACTTAGATATATTACAGAATTAAGAATTTCTGCCCCAATCATTAATGGTAAATATTGAAAAGCAAGCATCACTTTGATCCCATTGTTTTAAGAAAACTTTGATTGCATTTTAAGATTCCTATAAGATCATTTGTAGAAAGAAAACACTTTTATAAAATAAAAATTCCATTATAGAGTACTGCCTACATACTTTTTTTTACATGGGATGCATTCAAAATGAAACAGCAGACAGCTATTTTACATGCAAAAATCTCTGGAATATTATAAGCAGGTGTGAAACTTCATAAAACGAAAATACCAGTTAAATAAATATGATCTGTTAAAAACAAATCTGAAATAAAATATTTTTAATTCTAATTTAAAATTAAGGAAAATTCAAGGATTTAATATATTGTACAACTAATAAATGATGGCCTTTTTAAAATGCCATGCTTAGGTTGACAATTCCTGAGAAGCAATGTGATAGCCAATAGAAAATGAATACTTTAACCATACCAAGATTAAAGGAATTTGCTGCCATCACTATAGCAACTGTCTTAAGGAAACTAACTTGTTCAACAACCTGCAGGCCAAAATTAGATTTAGTATGCAATAATAATATAAATATGGCAATATACTCTACATTTTAATTTCTATACAATTTTATAATTGCTTTTTGCACTGTGAGAATAAGTAGGTTTCTCCTTTAAAACAACCTATCAAAATAGACTCATTAATGTCCAGTGCACTAATGAGCAATGGGTGAAGAAGGTGTTAATTATACCACAGTCAGATTCAAGAAAAAGCCCTAGTGAGCACTTGGAGGTGTGTATAAGCTGAATGCATTTCTCCATGTTTGTGTATTTATAGCATGATGCAATAGAATGACAGCAAAGTGGTCACTCCATGATTAAGAATGGAAATCCTAGATACAATATACTGAACAAAGAACCCCCAAGGATTAATTAAAGTATTGGAAAGGGAAAGGGAAAATAATAATTTTTGGAGCCACATGAATTTCCTTAACAATTTGTTGTAAACCAGTTTAGTTTATAGCTTCTAAACCCAAATAGTAATTTACCCAATTCAGTTTGTCTTATAAATGCAAATGTAACTTAGCCAAAAGAATGTACAAAAACTACCTTCTTAATTTGTAGTAACAAGAACTTCCAAGCTAAAGTATGAAGAATGTTTTCCAGAACTTGATGCTAGACTTTTATATTTCCTTTCATGCCGAAGTCCTACACACCACATTGAATCTTTATTCACTAGCCTGACCATTTAATTTTTTCTGGTACAAGTGCCTTGAGACTTTTCAGAGGTCACTGCAACAGTAGACAGCTTATAACAAAACCATTAGCAGTTTGGCTAGCTTAGGGAAACCTCTTACTTTCCTTTTTTGTTTATTATCACTGCATGAATCTGCAGCATATGATAGTTTATAATTTCTCAGGCTTGTTAAATTCATGTTAAAGGTCTGTTTTCTTGTTGAATAAATTTTGTTCATATAATGCTGCCTATTTCATACACTCAGTCTTTAATAGCACCTTTGGTCTATGCGCAACTCACAGATCAAAACAGAGGACTAAAATAGGGGTTGATGATGCTATTTACATGTGTGATTCCTGCTGTCTTCTTGTTAGTAGCTTTAATATAATAGAAGACCTTGTCTGTTTTGTAATTAACACATCTTTACTGGAGAGATATTTGGAAGTGATTGCTGTGAATATACTGGTTAGTAAAATAAACACAATCACACACCACTTTCTGTTATCAAAAATTTGTGAATTGTACACATTATACTCCAGATCAACAAACTGTGATATAACAGCCAAGTAGAAGACACATATTTATATAACCCTTTATTTTTCTGAAAATATGTATTCACTCTGACCTTGCAAATATAATTAGCTTGTGGGATGTGCAGATTTCAGTACCATGGTTGCTTTACTAATTGCAACTCTTGGAAATAGATACTAAATATTTGGAAGCTGCCAATACAAACAAAATAAAAACTGCATCTTTTTTGTACATCTGTCTTAGCTTATAAAAGCAAAATAGTTTTAAAAAACAATACTGTGTTCCATATTTATTCCAAGCACATTCAAGGGTCAAGGACCCATAATTTCATTTTCATAATGAATCTGATTTAAGACTCAAAACTACAATTATTTTCAAATCAGTTTAATCCATGATTTTTGGCTTCCTTCATGAGTACAGTAAATTTACTCAATATGCTATTTATTTTTAAATTCATGTTTTTGTATCAACTGCTAGGTGACTAAAAAGACTAGACTAAATTCCTAAAGTACCAATCTACAGTTTCTAATTTTTATAATTAAAAAGCTTTTATTTCTTTAAGTAAAACTCTTAAAATTAGTTTACTACAAAGAGTTGAAAGAAAAATGCACAAGGCCTCCTGGCAGAAATTAATTACTATACTTCACCGCTTTTTTAAAATTAGTAGCTGCCTTTAGCATTTCCAACTGCACTTATATTGAAGTTCATAATTATGGGGAAATGTTTATATATAAAATGAACTAAAACTAACAGTTTCAAAACAAAATTTTAAGATGTCAAAATCAATGTTAAACATCAAAAAAAGTTATTTATAATTTGATGACTGATTAAGTTACCAATTTAAAACATATAAACCTACCACCACACAAAGGCTCTAAATGACTAAAAAATGCAGGTGTGGAATGAAAAGCACAACCCCATATCAAATCCCTTTTATCACCTAGAAATGACCTGTTATCAACTG